ATTTTCTGTGATAAACTCCATCTGCTTCCCAGCCAGCTTATTGTTCAGTTTGATGTGCCTATATGCGTATTTATCTGAAAAGCATTGGCCTTTTGAGAGCCTCTCCATCAAAGCTTCTTTTGTTATATGAATGTTTACTTGTGCTGCTTCCTTCCTTTCTTCCCTCCTTTGCCCCATTTTGCACAGGGTTGCATTCCCACTGCTCTCGTCAAGGTCACCAAGACCTCAGTCTTGCCAAGTCCAAAGGTTAATTTTCTTTTTCCTCTTACTTTTCAGCAGCATTTGACGTGAATGATCCACTCCTTCCCTCTAAACAATTTCTTCACTTAGCTTCAGAGGCATCCCACCCCCTTGGTTTCCTCTTACCTCACTAGTTACCTTCTTTAAAGTTCCTTCTCTTCTCCTCCTCTAAATACTGGGATGCACCTGGTCTTGATGTTGGGACCTCTTCTCCATCTACATTCTTTCCCTAAGTGGTCTTATCCAGCCTCAAGGTGAGTTAGCCTGTAAAAAGTACTCTACAAATGTCACTCAAATGTACTTTTTCAATATAAACCAGTTGCCGCCAAGTTGACTCCTAGTCACGACGACCCCGTGTGTCAGTGTAGAGCTATGCTCCATAGGGTTTTCAATGGTGGATTTTTCAGAAGTAGATCACCAGGCCTTTCTTCTAAAGTGTCTCTGGGTGGACTTGAATTTCCAACCTTTTGGTTAATAGCCAAGCGCATTAATCATTTGAAAGGGCTTATTCCATGAACAGGTACTGAAGAAAGCATTTGCTTTTTTATTTTCAAATACGAAGGTAATGATATGAGTTATGATCTTTAACTATGACCAGCAATGCTTTTCATACCTAGTGCACCTACCCTTTAACTAGAATCTCTCTGGATGAGAAAGTGTTATTGTTATAGCCTTGCCTTTTTAGAGTCTAGAAGTTGGTAGAAATAGTAACTAAATTAGCATAGCTGAACACAGACTTTGTACTTAAACAAACAAACAAAAACCCAAAAAAAAAATCTGTTACCTAATAGCTGCATGTCAGACTTGCCTGTCACGGTGTTGTAGATGTACGGCTATATGAAAGTGTGTGACTGGATTTGAATCCCTACGGTGAAACACCGATTATGATATGCAAATATATTTGTGGAAATTGAAACCCAGTAAGGGCCTTAATCAAAGCAATCTATACAAGATAGTCATTATTGACTTTAGAAGTGAACACTCATTGTTCTTACCTGCACGACAACCCCCACATTCAATTTTTTGTTATGACATATTTCCATATACAGACTAGTAAGGTTAGTAATTAAGGTTGATAATGAATACCCAACCAAAAACCACACCAATTGCCGTTGGGTCAATTCCAACTCCTGGCGACCTTATAGGACAGAGTAGAACTTCCCTATAGGGTTTCCAAAGCTGTAATCTTTACGGAAGCAGACTGTCACATCTTTCTCCCACGGAGCAGCTGGGAATGATTAGTGCCACAATTCCCATAGCTGTCAAGAACTGAGGGGAAGTGACTTGTTTAAAGCCAACCGGTAGCAGTAGAGCTGGCATTGTACATTATTCTTGAATCAGTCCCATTCAAGGACTTATGGCCTTTGAAATTCTCTGCTGG